TATATCTCTATATCTCTCTCTCTATCTCTATCTCTATCTCTATCTCTATCTATCTCTCTATCTCTCTCTCTCTCTCTATCTATCTCTCTATCTCTCTCTCTCTCTCTATCTATCTCTATATCTCTCTCTCTCTATCTCTATCTCTCTCTCTCTATCTCTATCTCTCTCTCCTCTATCTCTCTCTCTCCTCTCTCTCTCTCTCTCTCTCCTCTATCTCTCTCTCTCTCTCTATCTCTCTCTCTCTCCTCTATCTCTCTTTCTCTCTCTCTCTTTCTCTCTGTACTCCCCCCCCCCAACGTGCATCATGGGTTTTAGTACAATAAATATAGATAGTTCCTTTTTGTTTGAAATTCATATCACACTCCTTATCTAGTAAGCCGCAAGCATATCTTTCTACGGGAATTTTAGATTTCACAGTGAGACTGGCAGAAATAAACCGGAAATAAGTCACCACTTCCACACATGGCTCAAACAAAAGGGTGTCAATTTCAGTATAGTTAATGTATTAACTAAACTGTTTGGTGTTCACTGTGCGGCATAATGAAAAGAAAAGTAGTGTACATTTACTGCTGAGTTGGAGACGAAATACGAAAACATCAAAAAGGGTCACACTACTGAGGAAGCATAGTGTTTAGTTTGGAAATCTGGAACATACATATATGTTACGAGCCATTGTTTTAACATGTCCTGCATTTTTAACTCATTTGTCCTTCTTTACAGACCTTATCTGATATTCTTATACATAACTGTAGTAATATCAGGTTGACTATTATCATCCTTCATCTGACATGAATAAGTTTTTAATAAATAAGAGTTAATGAAGATATAATTTAAAAAATAATAATTTTCCATGTACTGTGTAAGACTGAACAATATTCTATTGGAAACTTTTAAATGAAATGCTTGAGTAACAAAGCAAGGTACAAATTACACACAATGTCTTGTAAATGGAGAAGAAAGAAAGAAAGAAACAAACAAACAAACAAAGAGAAAGAAAGAAACAAAGAAAGGAAAAGAAACAAAAGAAAGGAAAGGAAAGAAACAAACAAAGAAGGAAGACAGGAAGGAAAGAAAGGGGGGAAAATGATCAATTTTATAACTTCTCATTAAATAAATTTTTGTTTGTTTAACGCAGGGATTTCCAAACTTTTTCTTATGTCGATCCCTTTACAAAAAAATGTTTTGCATCATCAACCCTCTGGATTTCTTTCTATAATATACAGCATTATCATAATAATAACACATAAATGACTTAATAATCAGACAAAGAATATGAACAAAACTTTTGAAAAAGTGGTTTATTAGATTTATGTTATGGTTTGTACAATTATAATTTTAAACTTTACAAATATAAACTTGTATTATTTGATTTTGAAGCTTTACCTAAGAAAACATTTAATTACCAATTGGATTTATATATTTTTTCCAATCAATAGGATCTTGATTATACTGATGCATTATCAGCTTTGAACCCACTATTGATCCCCTGATCATCATTGACCCCTTTGAAAATTTCATTGTCTCTTGGAGGGACGATACTGAACCCGTTGAAAGCCACTGGTTTAATGTAACATGATCCAATGTCTACATATAAAATAAACAATGCACTATATCCTAATAAGCTTGACAACTTAGTTGACTTCTTCTGTTTCAAAAAATATAGGTTACTAGCAATAAGTGGATAATTAGACAGTGGATAATTTATCAGGTGTAGTGACAACTACACAACCGTTTTTATCAATCCAAAATATTAGTTTAGCACTTGCAGTCAGCAATCAAAGAAATGTTTCTACACCATGTAAATGCTTCTAAACAATTGAAATCTATATAAATGATCAAAAACAAACATTTATTTTAATAATATTAAAAAAGCATTATTTGCCTATCATTCAGTTTAATTCTAAAAGGCTAAACATGCCCACAACAAATATTGTACTCTAGTTTCAGGTTAAATGACACCCAACTAGATTAGGATTGTCCTTCAGTGTCCCTGACTTTTTGACTCAATGCTGAGATGGCCTCTTGTTTTGCTTCAGGTCCTAAGTAGCTTCACTAAACACAGTTTGCTGAGCTCTCCTTTTACTAGTTGTGATTAGTGTTGGGGTGGGGTAGGTATTCTCGAGCTCAAGAAACGTGTGCTTCTCTCTCATGCAGAGGGGTTCCATATCTTGTAGAGAAAAGAAAGGACATTTGCTTGCTGCTCTATACTCGTAAAGTATAGCCTGTACTCTACATATAGGGATTTCAAGGCAAAAACTCACACACTGAGAATAACAATTAAGAAAAGAAGTCACAACAAAAATGTAATTCTAAAATATGATTTGTTAGTAAATCTTAGCTAGGGAGACTTAAAACTTGTAAAATTTCTGAGACAATGCCTCTCCGGCAAAGAATATCTTATGACAATCGGCACAATTTTCATAGCAAAATGATTAGAAGCATCAATGCATATATGATAAAATCTTGCATTTTTCAAGCCATCTTTGATAGCAATAACTGCTGATGGTGTCAAGACATTCTCTGCAATAGATTGTCATTTGATGTGCTTACATGCAAATCTTCTATCAGAAAATGTAGCAAGGGTGACCTATAATAAAATGACAAGCTCTGATTATGCTTTGTACATGAAAGTAGCCTCTTGTGCAGCTATTTCCCTGTCTTTGACTCCTAGATTTTTCTTCTTAAAAATAAACAAAAAAGTTGCACTGAAGATCCTTGCAGATACAGCTGCTCTAGTATGCTTCTTTATATTCACATGGTCATGTAGATCGGCCTTTCCCCTATGGCTAAGAGACCACCCAGTGTCGACTTCAATTGATTGGCATTTCTGATAACACTTCTTATGAAAGGAAATAGTTTCTCAGAGCATCATTAAAAATGCATTTTCTCTTTGGCATTTTATACTAGCTTAGCTGCAGGAAGATATGTATGAAACCGAAAATGCAAACATGTCCACAACTAAGTGATCATAACTAGAACAATGCACTCCAAGGAGCTAGCACACACAGCCATCTGCATTATAAATTAAGACTCAGAGTGCAGCAGCAGCACCAAAAATCAGGACATTTGCTGTCCCGAAGTTTACTTGTTGGGACACTGGACCAGAAGGAAGAAAACCTTTGAAAACCAGAACTGTCTCAGTAAAACCAGGACATCTAGTACCCCTACCCAATCATCACAAAGTTTTTACTCATTTTCAATTAAAACATCACAAGGTTTAGGAAGAAGAATTTGCATATTCCTTATCCAAACACAGCCGCTACTATTGTACTAAAACTGTCCAATCAGTTCTTACATTTTCCACATCTTACTTAAACAGTGCTTTGGAATCATTCAAAAATTACCTTGTTATTTCAAGGAAGGTGTTCTGGTAAGAATGTCTATGGAAACAAATCTTTATAAAGAGCAGATGCCAATACAAACATCTTAAATTGATTTTAATTAAGATAATTAATTTGACATACTAAGTGGCATAATACATTATGCTTGTTTACACTAAGTTAGTGCTAAAAACAATAAACTGAATATGATTTGTTGTTATTGTATTAGCATAGATGTAAACAAACTGTTTACTGAGCTCGCTATGATGAGTCATAAGTATAATGGCAAAATGTAATATTCATGTATGGAATATTCTACTGCCATGAGGCCCTGGGTGCCAGCAAACTCAAATCATCATACTTAAACAACGCTCTGTAAAACAGGTTGACACTTTTCTGCAAACTACCATGTCTCAACGAACCTTCCAAAACAAGCCTGAGAAACATCCCAATGATGTGTAAATGGAACACCCAAAGCACTGACACTGGCAGTTCCAGCGAGAGCCATGCCGAAGGTCCCCGCTACACTACTTTGAGAAGAGGAGCTGAAAAAGAAGACGTCAGAAACAAAGAGATAATATGGGAGTTGCCACTGAGAGAGCATCAGAGGATTTGAGAAATGTGATAAGTAACTCGACTCCCCCTCATCTTCCTTCTCTCCTCTCTCTCCCAAGAAAAAATACTTATCTCTGTGGTCACTCTCTGCACAATGGAGTAAATACATGTTATTATTAGAACTTTTAGACATAATTTTGCTTACCATGACCCCTTCCCCCACCTCTCAATCATCATAACCCCAAGCCGCAGAGTACTCCATAAGCACTGACCCTCTCTCAGATCAGGCTCAAACTTCCTTTTAAATCAGCTTCCAGAATGACCCATCACATAGCATATTTAGTAGTCATTAAGGGGCTTGACAGACTGAACAAAGACTGCAATTTTATGTTCTTACAACAAAACACGAATGGGCAAATGGACTATTTAAATGAATGTATGTCATTCATATCATGAAAGATGCCACGGACTGATGGCTAAATTTGGTCCATAGTGCACGATATGAACCAAGAAAACAACAAAAACAAAAGTTATCGTAATTCTTTTCCAATAACTGCTTATCTCGACAGTTACTGTACATCATGCCTGTGAAAGTTTTAGAATTTTACGTGCCTGATAATTGTAAGATAAATTCAACAGTTTTACAAAGAAATATAACTTTTTAAAAATTGTTTTATTGACATTATGCAAATGAAAACAGTATGAATTTATGAACAATATAGAATTGAATTGAATTACTGCTTTATTTTACGTGGCGAGAATCGGGCCATCAGGCCCGCTCTTCCGTCTGACCACGCAAATTTCGCTACGCTCCTTTCACCAACTAGCAGAGAAAGGAGGTATTTCTTGGGCGAGAAACAGGCAATTTCAATTTAGCTCCGAGGCGTCATTTAGGCTTGAGGATCTTTTACATGCAAGTAAATCTACTAACATGGGACAGCCGGTTTTCTTCCCCTCCGAAGGAAAGCGTACGACGGATTTTTTCGCCCTTAAAAATCCATGACTGCGATCGGGTTTGAAGCCGCTAACTTGGATACAACAGTCCG